ATGCGAAGAGCGCAAAGTTCACTGGCCCTCCGGGCTGACGTGAGAGCTACAAGGAACGCCGTCTTCCACTAAACTAATCGGAGATCCACAGTCGCCAAAGGTTCAAAGGGGGCCTTCATAAGGGCCTGTAGAACTACAGAAAGGCTCCACGTGGGCATAACCAGTCTAATCGATGGATTAAGATTATACAGTCCTTTCAAAAATCTCTTGAGAATAGGATGAGAAAATAGGGGTGATCCATCGACTAAGCCACGGTAGTAGGCTATTGCGGCCATATACACTTTAATAGAAGACGGCTTCAGTCCGGAGTGATGCAACTCCAGAAAGAACTGAAGAATTTGTTCAATTGATGAGACAAGTGGGGAGAACGAATGAGACTCGGCGAAGGTGGAAAAACGTTTCCATTTAGCCGTATATGACTTTCTTGTGGACGGCTTTAGAGCAGAGTCGATAGTATGCTGAATCTCAGGGTGCAAGAGCGTTGGATTCGAACTCGACGGGGTCTGTCTCGAACCGGATGGTACGGAGAGACTGTGGCAGTGAGAGGCACCCGCATGGTTGGATTCGAGAATCGGAACCGAGGCGGTCGAAGTAATCATCGATACCGATGGATTAATAGAAGCTGTCGGATTCGAGGCTCTCGAATCCGACGTCGGCCCCAATGGAAGGTCAATCATCGAATCCGCCACACTGTCAGGTTCAATGAGAGCAAGTCCGGGTGACGAAGTGTGCCGTCCATTTGCGTTATAAGGTATGGAAGTGCTGGAAGATGAAGAAACTCCCCGCGGGAGATGTCGAGCAGTTTCGCAAACCATGCTTGACGTGGCCACCAAGGGGCAACTAGTATCCCCGATGCCCGGTCGTGCACTATCTTTGCTATGACCCTCATCAGAAGAGGGATCGGAGGGAAAGCATAGAAGTTGATGTTGTCCCAAGGGATCATGAATGTGTCCCCTAGGGATGCTTGTCCAATTCCCGCTCTGGAACCGTAAGTCTCACGTACCCTGTTCTGTTGGGTAGCGAATAAGTCCACATCGGGGAACCCCCAGCGCCTGAACAGGTGGTTGCGCGTGCGAGGGTCCAGTTCCCACTCGTGAGAAGTGAAGATCTGCATGTACGTTGTCTGTGCCGGCCAGATGAACGGCCATCAGAGTGATGTCTCTCTGAATGCACCAGTCCCAAATTCTCATAGAAAGCCTGGCTAAGGTCAGTGACTTTGTCCCTCCCTGTTTGTTCAGATAAAAAATGGTCGCTATATTGTCCGAAGTTATCTGAACGATCTGATGATGAAGGAGGTCTTCGAAAGAACAAAGGGCCTTGAAGACTGCCAGTAGCTCCAGGAAGTTGATATGATTCATGGATTCTAGACGAGTCCACGTTCCCTGGGTAGACAGGCCAGAGCATATCGCTCCCCATCCTAGAAGAGACGCGTCAGTACCGAGAGTTATCGTAGGAGGTCGCGCCCTGAAGGGGACTCCCATCACGAGATTGGTCAGCTTCAGCCACCAGCACAGGGAGTGGAGCACAGAAGACAGGATCCGAATCAGTTTCGATTGTGGGTCCCTTTGAGGATGATACACCTTGATGAAGAATAGTTGTAATGGGCATAGCTGAAGTCTGGCATGTGGAACTACGGCAACCGAGGAGGCCATATACCCCAGGACCCTCTGGATGGATCTCACCGTAACCGTTCCCTGTCGACGGATTCGATGGATATGGCGAGCTGGAGTCTGCTGTCTGTCCTGTGGGAGGAAGGCTTTCTCCAACGTCGAATCCAAGTGGGCTCCAATGAAGGTGAGCGTCTGTGTCGGAAGAAGAGAAGATTTCTCTGTATTAATGCGTAGACCCAGACTATCTAGTAAGGTACGGGTTGTATGGATGGTGTCTAGGAGTCCTTCTCTGGATTGCGAGACCAACAGCCAGTCATCGAGGTACGGGTAAATTTGTATGCGCTGAAGGCGTAGGAAGGCACAGACAGGAGCCACGCTTTTAGTAAAAACTCTCGGAGCCGTAGCCAGTCTGAAGGGTAAAACTTTGAACTCATAAAGTTGGTTTGCAACAGCAAAACGGAGGAAACGCCTGTAAATTGGATGAATTGAAATATGAAAGTAGGCATCCTTCAGGTCCAGTGAGGTGAACCAATCCCCTCGCCTTAACAACAGCAAAATGTTTTGAAGGGTGGTCATACGAAACTTTCTCGGTATAATAAACTTATTCAAGTCCCGTAAATCCAAAATCAGACGTAGACCACCGTCCTGCTTGGGGACCGTAAAGTATCTGGAATAGAATCCGTGGAGTCCATCAGATGGGAATACTTGGCGAATCGCTCCTTTTCGGAGAAGTTGGTGTATTTCGTCGAGAAGTGCCAGCGAACATGAAGTAGACCGGGTCGGACTCGATGGAGGAACAATGTCGAATTCTATTCGATAGCCGTGTTGAACGATGGATAATACCCACCGGTCAGATGTGATGGACTCCCAAAGTCCAAAGTCGGCTTCGGAGCCGATCCCCAGATGAGAGGGAGGTGGGTATTAGAGGAGCATGAGGAGTGGTTCGCCAGTCCCGTCAGCGCTGCCTCCAATCGTCAAATCGGCGACGGCCCTGCTGGTATCTTTGTTGAGGTTGCTGATGGTGGCGTTGTTGTTGCTGTTGCTGCCTATGTTGAGGCTGTTGCCTGGGGTGATATTGCTGCCTGGAGGGCGGATGGTTCCATGGCCACTTACGTTTGGGCAGCGACTGAAGCTCCATTCGTCGGGCTGTCATCTAAGACTCATGGAGTTTCTTGAGCTTGTGGTCTGTCTTAGCGTGGAATAACCCGGACCCATCGAAGGGCATTTCTTCGATGCACCGTTTGGTCTCTTCAGGGAAATTGGCACTCCGTAGCCACGCATGTCTCCGAAGAGAGACGGCACCAACCAGTGCCCTCGAATTGGTGTCCACATGGTGCCTGGCTGTGGACAATTGCTGCACCGCCACGTGCATCACCTCTTTGATGAGGACCTTGGCCAATTCGCCCTGTTGATCCGGGAGGGTTGAGACGACGTTGTTGAGACGCTGCATTATGAAATACTGGTATCTCGCCAACGTCGCCTCGTAATTAGAGATACGCAACCCCAAGCCTGAGGCTGCGTAAACCCTCCTGGCCAGTGAATCTATCTTGCGGCCCTCCTTGTCTCTCGGTGCGGTATGACCCCTTGCCTCTCTTCCCTGGGAGGACTCCACCACGACTGAGTTCGGCTTGGGGTGTTGGAGGAGGAATGGAATGTCCTCCTCCCGAACCCGGTACATGGCTTCGTACCTCTGGGATGTAGGTTGTGGATGGGATGGCAAGTCCCAGGGCTGGGTCATCGCCTGCCGCAAGGTGGTAACCAGTGGCAGGACGTTGGAGGTGGACTGCTCCCCACGGACGATGTCGTATATTTTGTCCGTAGACGGCCCTGGCTGTTGGACGGCGTCTATATCCAAAGATTGGACGAGGCTGCCCATCAGCTCCGCAAAGGACACATGTGACTCATCCGGTGATGCGGGGCCCTGGGAGGTTACCGTAGCATCAGGAGAGGTCGAGTCCAAATCGGAGTCGTCGGAATCCGTGCCGTAATAAGGATGAGCTGAAGAGGAAGACTCTGCTGGTGAGACGGAGTGGCTGCTATCATCCCGTGGTTCCGGGGGTGAGTGCTTTGGATCCGGATGGGGCGAGCGGTCATGAAGGTGAAATTGTGGTTGATCCCTTGGAGCGGGATAGTATCCGGTCGAGTATGGCTCGTCCCAAGATGGATAGTAGGGACGACGCCAGTCCTCTCCCCTCTCGGACCGCTGCTCCCTAGAATGGCTTCTGCGGGTCCTAGGCGGGGTGTCAACCACATCCGCCTCCAGCATAGCCGCGGGCATAGGGGCTGGTGACCTAGCCCTGTGGGGAGAGTCCTGGATCTCTCCATCCGAGATCGAACCCCGTTGGACAGCTGGAGGCTGTTCAACCAGGGGGTCAGCCACACGGTGAGGAGACCCTTGAGGGGTGACCCTCATGGCTGCCTGGATCGCCAGCTTGGGTGGTGCCGGCACGGTAGAAGGTGCCGGTACTGATGCTACTGTTGAACCCGAGGTACGGTGTCAGGGTCGATTCGGATCCTTAGCTTTTGGGGTTGACTTAGAAGGCTTCTCCTTCCTGGCCTTTTTGGCAGGTTTTACCGCCTTGGCATGCTTGTGCTTCTCCCTTTTTTTCTTAGGAGAAGCTGGTGGGGCCCTCAAAGCAGAGGCACCTTCATCCGATGGACGGGAGGGCGGTACCACTGCAGCCGGGCCAGGCTTCGGAGCAGTGACCAGTGGGTCGGACTGCATGAGAGCCCGATCCCACAGGAGTCTCCAGAGGTGGTTCTCCCAGTTTTTTCTGGCTTGTTTGGAGAAGGCCAGACAGTGGGAGCACCTGACAGTACTATGCCCCTCCCCTAAGCAGAGGAGGCATAGATCATGTGGGTCGGATGGAGACATTTTCGACCCGCACTCCGCACACTTGTGGAAGGCCGCTCGCTGCGCCATCGCAGAAAGAACGAGAAGAGAAAAGGAGACAGTGCAGAGGGTAAGAATATATTTTTGGGTTTTTCTTTTTGTTTTTAAAGGAGAGATGGAACACTAGAACGATAGAAGAAGAAACTAGAAGTAACAAGAGTTTTAGGGATATAAAAACTGGGAATGAGAAGAAGACAATAGCTACGAGGAAACGGTCAAGCGAAAGATGAAAGCGGCACGAGGCACAGTGAACGGCAGTCGCAAAGACTGAACAAAATGGCAGACGCTCCGCTCTTTATAGGCCATGGGGGAGGGGAGCGGAGCTTCCCACCAAAAAACCGTTAGCTGTCAATCTTCCGGCCAAAGGCACTGTGCAGGCACAGAGCCCATATGTGTAATGCACAGAAGTCACGACGAAGAAATGCATATTTGGCTACAGTATATGAAAAAAAACCTAGATTTTATGGAAAGAGAAGCTAAAATTTAACAAACGTTACCTTTGAATTGATGCTGTGGGTTAAATTATTTCGTTTTTTCCTGACATTCCTGGCTTGCAGTTGCATCAATAATTTCTGATAGTGAAGCTCTAAATCTTCCCGCAATTTATTTAAAACTTCCTCCATTGAAAATGTCACTTTCTTTGCTTCAAAATATTTCTTTTTCCAGGACTCTCGGGCTGCACCAAAAACAAACAAACAAAGGAGAGCAAGTATATAGCTTATTATAACATACAGGTCTGCTCATAAGTAATTTCATTTCATTCCAGTGGAGCTTATTTCTAGGAAAATATGTATAGAATTGTAGCTTAAAATCAGAATAGTAACCAATATTTCTCTGCAGTTATGTAAACCAAAAATATGTAATGAAAACAATTTATAATTCTCATGAGAAGGTGAGATTAACTGGACTTTAGCTTGTGGAAACTGAAAACCTAGGATGGCCTCTAGCTTCTATCATCCTTCAGTTGCCATGCTTACTTAGCTGATGCGAGTTGTAAATCAAAACATATCAGAGACCATAGTTTCAAAGTAAGTGTGGGATCCTGGTAAACAAATAGACGTAAAACAAAGGAAGGGAGGGAGGCATAAACTGAGGAGAATACAAATCAAACCTTTAAGGGTGTAATCCTGTGCATAATTAGTTAGAAACCTGACAACAATTAGCAATTAGCCTAAAAGCATAAGCAAAACAAAATAGATGGTTGGTCTGTTCGCAAGATTTGATATCTCATTCTAAAACTTACCATAATATCTTTTGAACTTGTTCTGCTCAAGCAAGCTTTTTACTTTTTTAACTAGCTCCTCTCTAGTCTCTTCCAGGTGCTTTCTTTCTGCTTTGATATGTTGTAGCTGAATATTCAATTCATTACCTATGGGAAAGAAACCCACATTTAGTGAAGGTGGGATATAAAGAATTTTCAGGCTGCAGTGCCTCCAGGAAAAAAGTCCTATATATCTGGATCTTGATTCAGTCTGCCTAGCTTCTGTGTGATTTAGAACAATGAACTAAAGTTAACTAAAAATCTAGTCAGCCATAGAAATGTGAGATATTAATCAAAGAAAGATCATCTGCATTTTTGGAGTGGGGGCAGTTCTTGGCTATGCTCATCTGGACCTTCCAATTCCTGCATGCCACCTGGGATCCACAGACACGCTGTATAGATCAGGTATGAGGAAGCAGTAGTACTGGTGTACCAGTACCACTCCTTGCCTCATTCTGGTCCCCCCAGAAGTTTTTTGGACTTCAACTCTCAGCCAGCATGGCCAATGGTCAGGAACACTGAAAATTGTACTCCAAAACATTTCCGCAAGGACTGCTTCCCACAGTTTTGGTTTTGAACTATGCTGGGAAATAGAAAAGGTCCCATGCAGGATCAGACCAAAGGCCTATCAAATGCAGCATTCCATTCCCACAATGGCCAACCAGATGACCCACTGAGAAACCCATATGTAAACCATGAGTGTAATATATATTTAGAATAAATTTACATAATTTATCTCTAGTAGTGTCCTGTTGTGTCCATGCATCTGCAATATGTGCTACTCATGCACTGGGGCTTTGGCATTACTAAAAATAATCAAGAAGAATCAGAAACTCATTTCAGGAATAGGGCAGGTCCATGAATTTCACAAAAGAGAGTTTTGCTGACTCTAAATCTTTTGGGCTTGCTTACCCTCTATTGGAAATGGTTTATTGGCAACTGCAGCTTTGTTTATAGACACAGCTAGAAGAGGTGGAGTAGGAGGGGAAAGAAACTGGCTTGGATTTGCAAGGTCACTTAGCCCATTCTTGTCAGTCTAGGGCAAAATAAAAAGTGCATTAATATACTATATTGTTTTTAGAATAGATGACACAGAAGAAAGTCAAGGAAAAACTAGCTCAACCCTCCTCTGTATCTAAAACAATCACTTTCAAACTCTTGAACTACATCGATCCCTTTCCCCAGCACCTAAGCACTGCAATGTAGTTTGGGCATGCTTTAGAGCAGGGATGTGCAGAATCCAGGAATTTTGGACTTGAACTTCCAAAATTCCCTACCAGCATGGCCAATGGTGCAGAATTTGGGAAGGTGACATTCAAAACTTCCAGGAATCTGCTTTCTGCCTACCCTTGTGTCTGGTGTGAATAGTTGGATATACACCATGCAGACTGCTGGCCAGACATGCTGAACTTCACTATTGTCTCAGAGAGTGATCTTAGAACATAAAATGTATTCTTTTTTAATTTAAACTATTTTTATATTTCCTTACTGTAAAAAACCACCTAAGTGGTTTGCATCAAAACAATAAAAAGAATAACATATCTTAAAGCAGCAATACAACCATTATTAAACATCAAAAACAATCAAACCACAAACATTTGAAAGCCAAGTTGCATCTTGACATCTTTTGCTAGAAGCGGAAAGAGTGGGAAGCAACTACACTTCGGACAGGAGTGTATTCTGTAGTTTGGGGACAGCACAGGAGAGAGCTCTCTTCTGCATTCATCAGGCTTTGCTAACCAATGCAGTGCTCAACAGAGCCTCTCCTGCAGGGCTGTTAACAGGAGTAGAATAAATACAGTGGGAGGCGAAAAAGAATGTTTGGTGGTGGTGAACTGCCCAGATGCTGAAAAACTGTATGTCAGTCTAAGAAAAGCATAAAAAACAAATGCTTCCAATTTAGGTTTATAAAGTCGGACAAATATCATAGAAGTATCATAGAGAGCCAGTGTGGTGTAGTGGTTAAGAGCAGGGGACTGGGACTCAGATGACCTGGGTTCTAGTCCCCGCTCAGCCATGGAGCCAACTGGGTGACTTTGGGCCAGTCACAGACTCTCAGCCCAACGTACCTCACAGGGTTGTTGTTGTGGGGATAAGATGGAGGAGGAGATGTAAGCTGCCTTGAGCCCTTTGTAGGAAAAAGGCAGGATATAAATAGAAAAATAAATAAATAAATAAATAATTTGCTAATAGGTACCATAACATTCTTCAGAAGCAGAATTTCTGGTAAGGAGTGAGCTCTCCTCTTGCCTTTCACACTCTTACTGCTGTTGACCGTTTGCAGCAAAGTATCACTGAAGTCGAGATGGTTTCTGGACCTAACTCCTGTCTGGTTCCTCACACTTTTCCATCCTTTCTGAGATTATAGGTGCCTAAGAACATGGAAAAGTGAAGCTACTCTCTTTTACAGGAGCACAGAAGTTTGACAGCTCAGACCCCTATTAAAAGGGTTCTTGGCAGGGCCATATGCGTGCATGAATGTTCATGTTCCTGACAAGCCCCCATGGCTAAAGCAAAGTAAAAAGCTATGCTCTGGGTCAATGGCCTTGCGGGCTGCCAACAAAGATAATGCCTAGATGAGGCCACTCATTTCAGACTTGCAAAAGTGCCTATTTGTACAAGTCCCACAACAAAATAAAAAAATAAAAACTGAAGGAAAAGATTGCCGAATTTCTCACACTAATTTAAAAATTTTAAAAAATTCTAGGGCACTTTGAAGGGGATGTCACTAGCTATCAGATTGGAGATTACTTTCTGTGATTTCCAAGGAAGAAAGGGGAAGAAAGGCTGTGATGTGCACAAAAGGGCTTGAAATGGTACCCAGGGGCCCCAAACGAGTGATGGGCACCCCCAAGTGCCACTTGGATACTTGTGGTGTGGCTGGCACAGCCGGTAGTCTGGGCAAGTTTAAAAAGAGCAGCAAGCAATTTTTGCTGCTTTTGCCAAGAGACACGCACTAGCCCTCTTCTCAGTACCCAGGATGGGGTCAGTCGCCTGGGTCCAGAGGACATGACTAGCCATTGTGGATTCAAAAACCTCTAAATAAGCCGGCAGTTGCCAGGGTGGCTTGTTGCCCACAAACAAGACACTCTACAAGAAATAGTCCAATTCTGCTTTTCACCCATGGTGGGTTATTGTGTGGGGAGAAACAAATGAGTGGATGTTCCAAATAAACACACATCAGTTTCAGCTGTTCCTTACTTAGCTGGCGCTCGCTCGCTCGCTTGCTCTCTCTCTCTCTCTTTGTGTGTGTGTGTGTGTGTGTGTGTGTGTGTCTGCCTGCCTGCCTGCCTGCCTGCCTGCCTGTGTCTGTGTACATCTAGTGCCATTTACTTTAGAACTTACTTTTTCAAATTTATTGGAGATACACTGATGATCAGTTTTGCATCTGGCCAGGAGCAGGTAAAGATGAACCTTGAAACTCCCCCCTCTCAGCAGTGATATATTATTGTCACATTTTTAAATCAGAAAGAATAAATATAACCCAAGTTCCTGAAGCTGTAACAGCTGATCTTAGCTAACAGGGATTGTTTCGCTTGATCTTTGGAATGTACCTGATGATCCAGTGCACTATCAGTCCCAGTGGCAGACTTGGCAATTTGATGATGCTGGTGGCTATAGATGAAATCAAAGTACAGTGTAACAACTCCATTAGAAACCAAGCACTTTATTTAAATGAGTTTAAGAGACTGGTGGGTCTAGTACACAGTGTGATAGGGTGGCAGGTACTTTTGCTTTGGTTATCAGTCTGAACAATAGGGTACTGAAATTGGTGACAAATTGGACTAGATTCAAGTATTCCAAAGATGCACTACACTCACATGCAGAAAATGAGATAGAACAAATTCACGTTTTATTATATTTGTCTGAAAGTGGATTAAAGTGTTTACTTTTTCCATTATTCAATCTATTAGGAATCCTTGATGTAATTTTAAAAACAGCTAATACTACCAGCATAGTAAATTCTGTATTTTGTTACCTCTTGCTGTATAAATATTCCAGGTCTCTGTCTTCCAAGGATTCTGGGATTCCAGAATCTCCTGTGGTATGTCTCCACATTCCATCACCTGGTGGACTGACCCCATTTTTTGCACCTGAATCCAACATGTTAGAGGGTTCTTCTACATCAAACAAAGTGCAAATTATTCTTTATCTCTCTGCAATCCACACACCTCTTTCTATTTCTGTTACCTACCAGCCAAAATCAATGGTTTGGTAGAGTGATCTTCTTTCTAGTCAGTCACTAATGAATGTACAACAGATTGGGTAAAGTGAAGGACCTCAAAAATACCTTATACTTTCTGAACCTATAAACCCCCATGGACAAAAATGAAGCCACTTCCGTCAGGGTCACATTGATGGAGATTGAATGTCAGGCTATGCCAGCATGGCTTCAAAGCCACATTGACTTGGCATGTTGTCTTAACCTGGCACACTTTTGTGGAGTGACTTCTTTGTTGCTTTGGCTTGTTGTAGGGTTTCCTAGTCATTCCCGAGATTGCTGTGTTACCAGGATCCAGACGAAGCAACAAGGCAAGAGCCACTTGGCAAGAGCAGCAGAAACGCCGGCCACCCCAGGCAAGCAGCTATGAAATGACTGCCATTGTTTTCTGCCCCAGAAATACCAGCGCAACCCTTGAAAGGACAACTAGAAAGACATCTATCCTTCCCAGAGCTATTGTGAGTTGTTTTGATTCTACTGAAGCTTGCTTTTTTATTTTTACAGCATTTTCTGGAGATTGCAAAAGCTGCCTCTCAGGGCAACCTTACTGATCCACATTCTAAGCACCTGCATGTTGCCCTCTGAAGGAACTCTATCAGTAGGGACTAATCCCCTGTTTTTTTAGTGTAATAACATGTACAATTAATTGTGTTCATTGTATAAAAATACAAAGTGCTCCATTTTTGCAAACAGAATAGATGAGGTTTAAAAGGGTACTAACCAGGGAGGGTGGCTGATGGCCAAAACCATCCTCTGTAGTGGCTGGTCCAGGCTGAAAGTAAATATGTCCCTGCTCCCCCAGTTTGCAAAGTGCAATCTTGCTTTTCAAGGAACTGCCTGGTCCTGACCTGACTAGGCATCTTTACAAAATGAGGAGTGTACTTTGAGAAAAGTGTCTTTGTACTCTCTCTGAAGTGCTGGTTGTGTTGCGTGAAAACACAACCCAGTTTAGATAACTCTTCATGCCAAGATTTGTTCGGTCACAAACTTGCTGTGGGCTTGTACATCCCTTTTCTTCAGCACCAATTTCCTCTTTCATTTCCAAGTTACTCTAACAATAATTTGCTGATGTTCTGAAGCAGGCAACCATAATTAGTGCTGGCCTTCACTTCAGAGTCTGCAAACCCACTTCAAGTCTAATTTCAAACAATAGTTTGACGTTTGCACTGACCACAGTTTGTCCGATTTGGATGTCACTGCAAGCTTTGGTAAGAGCTATCCAGTCAAGGAAAGGGAACTGGTATTTAAAGAGGATGGAAAAAGGAGAGCAAGTATATGATCTTGTGCCATGTTCTCAAATCTCCAAACAATACTTTTGAGACATGTGGGAATTCTTCATTCTAAATAAATTCTAAATGAAATGGCATGATATGTAGATATTTGGGTGACAAGTACTGGGTGAAAACTTGATACCACAATATTACAAAAGGCCAAAATTCCCTAAAGGTCAACCACCTCTTCCCTACATTATCTCTGTGTTAGATTTACTGCAGTGAGCATGTACAAATTCCAAGCACAGTCACTTGAAGTAAAAGTAAAAATTATCAAGATTGAAAAAAGAGCTAGGGCCTTGAGAGGGAAGGATGTTGGCCTACAACCATCTTCCAGTGACAGAAACCCTGACCCTGATTTGCACATCCCAGTAAGTCAGAGTTTAGGGAACCTGGACTTACTGGGAAGAATAGCATGTTTGTTCTGATCATTTCCACTTAGCTCCTTCTGTTGGTGGCGGCAGCAGAACTAACCACGGGCCCTCTCTCCATGGTTTATCATCGCATTTGAACTGCTGATTCTGCTTTTTCTCCTCTCAAACAATGCAGAATCATAAGCCATGATTTGTGGCTGGCAGAAAGCACAAGCCTGTTACTTGATCCCAATAAGCCAGGGTTCTCCAGAAATCATGTTTCTCCTGACTTGCAAACCAGGATAAAACAAGTTTTAAGAGCAACTGGAAAAAACACCCGACAACCAAATTTGTGTAACCACTTGTGGTGGCTTAAATGAGCCACCACAGTTCATAGCATGGCACTAGTGAGTGCCCATTCTGCAACACCCCCCCCCCCACTTGTAAGCTGATTTTTCCCTTTTCTCATTATTCCGATTAACAGTCTTCTTGTATTACTCACCTTTTCTGGAATTATTAAGCTTTTCTTGAATGTGGCTGTGTGACTTACTCTGATGCATTTTTGCTGATGCCATTTTTTTTTCAGCGTTCTGTCTTGCAGGATTTAAATCATGCTGAGTAAAGGGCAATGCAATGGATTCGCTTTTGCTTGTCTTCTGTTGAGTTTCTCCTAGCAATATACACAATCACTGATTAGGATTTATACAGTTACATATATGGCATACTTCAGAGAACTACAGAATTTTATGAATCACTACGTTGCATTTCAACACACCATATTTAGCTGTATCATGAAGGTTTTATTGTATGAAATTGGATTTAGAAATTTGAATTATTTTATCAACTTTTTGTATGTGCTTCAAGTGGAGCATCTTCTTAAAAATGCAAAAAGGAATAAAAGTTATGTTTTAGTGACACTTGATATTGCTGGAATCTTTATTAAATACAAATAAGCTTTGCATATACTATGCTGTAAGCAAGTCAAAAGTACAAATAAATAGACAAATGGACATTTATGCCAAAATATGGCAGGGAAGCTAACCAGTTTGGGCACTGCCATGAAATGCCCAAATATGGCACTAGTCTTTGAGAGAACAGGTCCCTATTCTGTGAAATTCCTAGTTTTCTTATGCTCCAGGATTCATCTTGGTAATGGCAATATACCTTCTATGACTTCTACTCTTAATTCTGGTAGCATTATATTATTGTACATTTGGAGGGTTGGACAGTAGCGGTTTGATGCAGCCAGATTTTCAAGAAACTCCTCTAACAGTCGAATGACAAAGTTGCTAGGCTCATCTCTTGCTAGGGAAACTACAGAGAAATGGCTCACACATGCTAAGGAATTGTTGAAAATTATCCATCTTTATTCCCCCACTCCAGTCAGTAGGGAACAGGGCAAGATATTGTAAGTGGAAACCAATACTAGTGTTTTGTGGAGATTGCAGTTAAAAGTGATGAAAGGTGGTGTGAGACTAACAGTATCTTATCTGGAACTATTAATACAAATTCACCCAGTGAATCATCATGTAATGGCATTTGTTGATGAATTTCAAATCATCTGCAAGACCTTTTAAAAAGTGACTCAGTAGTAGATCTATACTATTTTATACCCTCTAATATGCTTTCAATATCTCATACTTATTATTTCATTCAGATGCTCTTGGTGAGAGACCCAAGCAATTTAGGGGTCCTGTATACCTGCCAACAGGTGTCCCTGCAATACATATGACAAAGGGACCCCCCACGATGCAGAAAGGTTCCGGTCATGTGCAAAGAAGGAGGTTCCACAAGTGCAATATCCCAACTGACTCACATCTATCTATCTATCTATAAAATTTGTATGCCGTCCATTACTTGCGTATTTAATTAACTTTCCATCACCACAATGTACTAAGCAATGTCCCCAACCTTTCTGGACTTGTGGAAACATCTGAAATTTTGAGTGTGCTGTGGGCACTATCACAAAATGAGTATTATGGTAGATGTAGCTAGTCACAAGAACCTAGAGGGAATATTGCTGAGGTTACATGGAAAGGAACCTTCCAAATAATCTAAGAACAAGGCAGAGGTGGTGTCTGAGTTCCATACACAGAACAATTCTTATGAACCTAAAGTTTTCTGCTTCAATAGCCATTTCACAGAAGAGAAACTGATGAAAGGTACAAAGTGGAAATGAAGGCTGCACCTCAAATGGCAAATCACAACAAATACCACGAAAGGCACAATGACAATCTTCAGAGAAACATGCTCACAGAAGCAAGACACCCCAGACATACGTAACTCAGGCAGCACTCTCTCTCTCGCACACACAGGCAAAACATAGGCCCAAGCCACAAACTGGCTTTCTACCCAGCCCAAAGCATGCCCACAGCACATGCTAAACACCCCATGGTTGCCATCATCACTGTGTGCAGTGGCAGAACACCCCCTACCTCCCACAATGTAATTTTTCTTTGGTAGGAAGCAGGGCTTTTTTTGTCATTGAACGCACCAGAACGGTGTTCTGGCACCTTTTTTTCCAATGGATTTTATGATGATTTTGTCAGGCATAGCAGATCAGCAGCAAACACCATTAACATAGTGCCTGAGGGCTGCTTTTCTGTCTGCTATCTGCTATCTGATAGTGAGACAGTGAGGGCTGCTCAGCTTGGGCTCTGGATTGGTGCGTGTGGTCGCGCGCTGAGTGCTTACTGCCGGCGGCGACGTGAGTTCCAGCACTTTTTTTTTTACAAAAAAATAACACTGGTAGGAAGCATCTGGGCAGCTTTGAAATGAAGAGCTGGGCTTCAGCCATCTGCCTCTTTTATTTTCTGAGGATTTGGGAAGCTTAAAAATATGCTTTAAAATGAAGAGCAGCATGTGCCACGTAGGCACAAAGGGGCTGTCCGGGGGTACTCCCTTGGAGACTGCAGAACTAGCAAAATTTCTTTCCTTTCAAGCATGGATCCGGAGGTCTCCTCCTCCCTGTGATTTTCACTAGAATCACCCATAATTCAATGAAAATCAGCAATGTGATAAAGGATGCTCTGGAGAAGTAGAGGCGGAGGTCCTTCTCTGGGAGCCCTCCTTGAAGGAGATTAGGAGAAGGGACTTTTCTGCGGTGGCACCCTGATTATGGAATACACTCCCCAGAAAGGTTTGCCTGGTGCCAACACTTTATTCTTTTTGGTGCCAGGTGAAAACCTTTGTATTTTCTCATTATTTTAATAATTGGTTTTAAAGTGGTTTTATTTATTGGAAATTGGATGCTGTGCTCTATTTTATCTTATTTTGTCTTACTTTTATTGTAAAACTGTCCTGAGACACTTTTAGTGGAGGGTATATAAAAGCTTTTAATTAATAAATAAAGTCTGACTGGATCCTCCAGAAAACAAAACGGTTAATGTTAAGAGGCACAAGGTTCAGATCAAAAGATGGGAAAGCCACTAATGTTATCATATATACCTCCTGACACAGCAGGCCCAAGCCTGGATTATACAGAAGGAAATTAATGCTGTGCCTCCCTGTTCTGATAATTTTAAGGGATGATGTATCTGATTTTCTTTAATTTGAATTACTGTTCATATTAGATAAATAGCTAAAATCAGTTTTTAAACATTAGAATGAAAGAAATGTTGCTTTCATTGTGCTTTGACCTGCATACAATCATTAGACATGATTTTCACTGCATTTCTTCTAAACATTGGCTAGATTCCTCACCTTTTTTTCTTTGAGAGCTACTTTTTTCTTGAATCCTTTCATTATTTTCTTGCTCAGAGCTCTGTTTTATATGTAGAACTGGGGCACTTTCCTTTTCACCTTCATTCCATCCTAAAAAATCAACATTTTCCTGAGTCTGACTGAATTGATTTTTCAAGGAACTTCCAAAAACTGGTGAGATTTGACCATCAAGATTTGGAGCAGGTAAACTGTGTGGTCTGTGATGTGATGCGCATGCCAGCACGTATTCTGCATTATTGTGGTGTCTCTCTGGAGCTGATAATGATGAATAAATACTTTCTTCTACTGGTAACAAATACAGTTCAGGATAAAATGCCTGAAACATACAGCAAGTAAAGTTGAAAGAAAAAACCAATCAAAGTAATTAATAACAATATGCTTGCTCTTAAAATTGATGTGAAATATACATACATAGGGAGGAGCAAACAATTTGAGCTTCAGTTCTGTCTCTTGCTTTGTTTTCACCTTCGAATATAACAAAAGCAGCATTAATCAAAATGCTATTCACTTTCTTGCTACTTTCTTTCTTGTTTTACTTTCTTGCTAGACAGATTATAATAAATGTTATGTTTATTTAAAAGCCATATTCAACCTTGTTCAGAGGGTGGGGAAAACACTAAGTAGAATTTTGGGAAATATTGCAGTTGGATTATTATAATCTTTTCATTTACAAATGCTTTTTTTCATTCAATTTCCAGTGTTCTCTCTCATATAAAAGAAATAAAAACCTTTGGTGTTGTCTGTGGCTATCTGGCAGCCCAGAGGACACATAAGTATATAAGATATGCTTATGTAAGATCATGTACAACTGATTCCTGTAAAAGTCCAATTTTCCCATTTTTACAAGAATAGAAAATTTTCATTTAAATGGAAAGCCTTTGTTTATTTTAAGGAAAATAGTCTATTTCTTAATTTGCATGTCACTTCCTTCATTGGATAAAAAATAAGGCTGCTGATTCCTCTTAAAGAAGAAGCAACATGTTTTTAGAGTGTTCAGAGAACTCTAATGAAAAAGTAGTATCTCGAAGAGATTAAGGGGCTGCTGAGCTTGGGAATTCTGGGAGTCTTTTTTTTTTTTGGTAAGTCTTTTTTCATACATCTAAACATGCATTGGATTGCATCTTAAAGCACTGCTGAACAATATAAGAGTGGGATGCTCACTTAGATACGATTACACAGAGTTGCTGTGACCTCCCAAATTCTATAAATCTATTTCAGTGTTCCCTTTCAAGTAAATCAAAAATATGTTACCATTTGTAAAAGTCTACTTTGGAATGCATTAACTGAATGAGAGACTCAAACCTTATTTACAGCGGTCTGGCACAGACATGGCACAGGTTTCTTGCAAATTGCTGTTTTAAAATTTGAAGCAGACCATAGGAACATGTGATCCATCACCCTCCCTTCTCTTGCAAGAGCTCCCACTTCCCTTTTGATCAAGAACATTTGAAAAAAGTGTAGAGCCCACCTACGAAAAATCAGCAGAAACAGATATAACTTACCACTGCAAGTTTCTTCCCTATACATTTTAGAAAGATAAATTTATCCACAATTACATCTTCACCTAGGTACTCTCCAAGATGCTTTCTCAATGTTCTTAATGTCAAATGAGGTGACACCCTAGAATATCAGATTACATGAATACATGTACATAATGGTGGATATATGTGGCTTTGCAGGTTGCTATATAAAGGAAACATAGATATGAACCGGTTGAATGGGATGTGGCTTTGCATCTATAGCTAGAAGTGGTTAGGAATTCCTGCTCCGTTCAGTTCTGGCACTTTTAGCAACATTCAAGATCACAATACCACTTCTTTTAGCACTATTTGCTTTTCAGTGATGTAACAACATGATACAAATGCAAACATTTGCAACGGTACACAATGAAGTATTGAATTTGGGTTGATGTCTCTGACATTTCTATTCTGATTTCTCATGGCACAGAATCTACAATAAGACAGATTTTTAACTTAAATGGCACAAGATGATTGCTCTGACCTGAATCAAAAATCATTTCTAAACCTGATTAAATCCTCAAGTAAATCTAGTTTAGAAAGCATGTACATCTGCAGCATAATCCTAGGTACATCTATTCAGAAATAGCACTCGCTGAATTCAGCCTACTTACATGTAAGGGGATATACGATTTCAGCTTTAAAATCCTTACTGGCAAAAGCAATCTAATTATGCCTCAGAAATTGCAAGTGGCCACTCGGAAGCTTAATCCTTGAACGTTAAACTTTCAAAGTCCACTGGCACCACGGTGGATTTTTTTTAAATGTACGAACTCCTAAGCATCTATTTTGAAAACAAACAAAACAGGCTTCCCCAACCTGGTGTTCTCCAGATGTGTTGGACTACGACTTCCATCATATCAGACCACTGGCCTTGCTGGCTGCAGCTAACAGGAGTTTTAGTCCAATGTGTCTGAAGGGCACCAAGTTGGAATAGGCTTCTGAAATAGAGGCCTCAACGCTGTATAGAACCAGAAACTTATATAATAAAATAAGCCTCTTTGTTTATGTGATTCATCCGGTTGAGGCTGTGTTGCAGTTTTAGCTGAAACTGCTAATTTGATGTTTACGTGACATCATTGCTAACCCAACTGGGGTTCCAGGCAGTGTTTCAGGTTATTAAGAAAGGCTTTTTCTTCATTATAAGTCAACAGTGCCAGGAATGAACTACGTTAATAGGACACTAATCATTTCTGTGATGTACAAGCAAGGAACTACTAAAATTGTTTGCAAACAGACGACAGTAACTAGGTTAAAAAGAAACACAAGAAGCTTAAGTCAGGAACAAAGGAACAGGATGGAATGGGGTTACTTTACCCTTTTTATTTTTGCTGCTTGTCTACCCAAAATATACCTCTGCCCAGAACTTCGTTTCCCAAGAGTTGTGGAGAAAGATAACCAACTGCATTGCTTTTCTGTTGCAGAAAACAGATTGACGCTAAACTAAGGAGACAAACAAGCAATAAGAGGATTCAAGTGCTCCCTCTGCAAGTTTTTTGTTCTTGATTTTAGCCCCCATGGGTGGTTTTCATTTTAGAAAAAAAGTGGGAAGAATCACAAAACATTCCTGCCACATGTCACTTGGCTTTTAGAAAGTTGTACATCTATTTATAGCAGCCAAAGTGGATGCTTATACAGAATTGCTAATACAACTCACCTTATAAATCCAGCTGAAAGGAATTTGCTAATAACATCAACAGGAACTGTCTTCAACTTAAAATTCCACACATCTTCCGGAACATAAAGAACATGAAGCTCTAAAAGCTAAGCACATTAAAAGAAAATTAGTCTTAAATATTACAAACAATTAAAATTGTCAGCCCTAATGTACCTGTTTAGCATATTAAAACCATTAGCCCTTGTCATGGCAGTGGAAACAAAGTAATAGTTGTGTCACATGAAGTTGGAATGGGTAGTTTCTAGCTGCTGAAGCCTACAACAGCCCACGGGCTTTGACGGACATTTTTACCCATTGCCTGCTCCAGGCATGCGTGTCATAGCAAGCTGCACTTCCAACATAGCCATGCTAGCCTCCATGGCACACTGCAGGCACGTGTGGAGAGGATCCTCTGAGCCCATCACTGTGCTTGCCATTCATGCTGCAATAATAATGGTAATGGCCATAACGAGCCTGTACATTCTTATGGGTTTGTTATCAGATTTTATTTTTCCTGCATTTTATTTTCAGTAATTATCCCACTTTTAAAGTTTGGGAGCTGTGCGTGTGTGAGAGAAAGGGGGGGGGGGGGAGGGGCGGGGGGGGGGGGCATTGTATAATTACTGCATGAGTTTGTAAAGACAAAATACTTAAAGTTGAGTTCTGATCAGGCAATTCAGAAAGCCACTCTGCTAAGTAAGTATGTCAATTAAAAAGATAATATATGCTGAAGCAACCTTGCGCAAGTGTGCATGGGAAAATTAAAAATGGAGATTGCTGTTAGGGAACACATGGAAGCGGACAAGGTACTACTCAAGTGTCATTCCAAGATGTAGGAAAATGAGAATTGGATAGGATTAGCAACAGAAAGTATTCCTCCATAGGGGTGAGGGATTGTGTTACACAGGCCCATGGGATATATGCTGGGAGTACTCAGGAGACCGAAACGTAAAACAAGCCATAACAAGCTTCAGAGCTGATCCTGATAATCTGGTGCCAGTAACATGGGTTAGTGAGTGAACACCAAAACCCATGGTGCCTTATTCTCAGTGTGGGTTATCATAATGTGCAAGCTCATCCAGTGAATAGCACTGTCACTATCAGTTTGCAGTCAGACAATGCTTCACCAGGGTCTTGGGCTTGCCCAAGGAGTGGTAACAGCCCAGGACATTCTACAAGTGGTCCACTTACAGCAGTTAGAAGTTTTCTCTTTAACAATAAGGAGAAATAACAATAAAAGAATAGCGTTTGCAGTGATGGCTTAAAATGCTCACTGATGGTTTGTGAAAGACAAAAAAGTATGGCTCAATGGAATAAAAAATAAGCCTTGGCTAAACCATCATTGCTGAACTTCTACAGTGCTTTAGATTTCTATCTAAATGAACAATATGTAGGCTGCCCTTACATTGGTTATGATGAATACTGCTAATTGACATCAATGTTTTATAATTACCTCTGTTGCTTAGATGTATTCTGAGCTGATTACTTTATCAGCTAATCAACATGCAGCACTTAACATTTAACAAGACAGGAATTTCATTGCACTCCACCGTTGCACATTGCTGAAATCTCATATGCAATTAAAATAAGGGAGTGTCAAAGTAGCTGAATGCCACTACAAAGGAAATTATAGGCACTGACATGGAATGAAGCTTTTGCATGCCTCAAACATTTCTTTGACCCAGTTCGCATGACATGCCAGGTGCACTGTGGATTGTTTAACTCCAGATGAACTGTAGCATGTGTTGGGCACCATGCCCAATATGCGAACCCCTATTAAAGGGTACCCGTATTATGTGAGCCTGGCCAGTTCAGGGTATTTTATGATTAAACAGCCTTGCATAACTGTTGGTGTGCTGTAGGGAAAAACAAAAGTTATTCAACTGTCAAATAACCCATAGCAGCGGGGGTTACATAGTACAGAAATCCCCTGATTATAGGTTGCATATATAAAATTGTAGCTGGCAGAAACCATGGGGCATCAGGGGCTCAACTCATATCCCTGCAGTGGATTCTTGTTTAAATTCAGTTTCAAAGCACATAAACATGGGGTGGGGGGGCTTGCCCCTGCTATTAAAAAAATATGCAACTAGCCAGCATAGGGTGGCAATAAGGAAGAAAAAAAGAAGAGGTAATTAATCTGGGATTTAAGTCTGATAATCCAATAGCTACAACAGCAAAATAAACTATGAACAAAGCACTCCACAGCCTGGCAGATCTCTGATGACAAGATGTTCCACAAGTGTTCAGACACAGAAAATATTTTGTTTTAATATATAATTTTACAAAAGAAAAATTCAAGAAAAAGAAATTACAGCCCAGTTCCAAATTAGGTATCCTACACAATGTTTAAACCAGGCTTCATCACTTCATAATCTTCCTTAAGTTGCTTTTTTATTCAATATGTGTATATTGTAAGCATATAATAAATTTGTATGTATATAATGAATCATTTTCTACAACTTCTAAAATATATTTTCTTATACACCAATAATTATTATTCTGTTTTTGGGACTAATAAAGTTGTTGCATTAACCATTTTTTGTAATTAGGCATTCCCAAATATTTTATGAGATCTTGTGAATTAATACGGGACTAACAACAACAAAACTTGTATCAGAACAATTGTGCAGTCAGGTTGTTGTTGTTAGTGGCGAAGTCATGTCCGACTCATCGCGACCCCATGGACAACACTCCTCCAGGCCCTCCTGTCCTCCACCATCTCCCGGAGTCCACCCAAGCTCACACCAACCGCCTCAGTGACTCCATCTAGCCACCTCATCCTCTGCCGTCCCCTCCTTCTTTTGCCATCTATTGTTCCCAGCATTAGGGTCTTCTCCAGGGAGTCCTTCCTTCTCATTAGGTGGCCAAAGTATTTGCGTTTCATCTTCAGGATCTGGCCTTCTAAAGAGCAGTCAGCGTTGATCTCCTCTAGGACTGACCAGTTTGATCGCCTTGCGGTCCAAGGGACTCGCAGGAGTCTCCTCCAGCACCACAATTCAAAGGCCTCAATCCTTTTGCGCTCAGCCTTCCTTATGGTCCAGCTTTTACAGCCATACATTGCAACTGGGAAACCATAGCCTTGACTATATGCACTTTTGTTGGCAGGGTGATGTCTCTGCTTTTTAGTATGCTGTCTAGATTTGCCATAGCTTTCCTCCCAAGGAACAAGCGTCTTTTAATTTCTTGGCTGCAGTCCCCATCTGCAGTGATCTTGGAGCCCAGGAAAATAAAATCTGTCACTACCTCCATTTCTTCCCCATCTATTTGCCAGGAAGTGAGAGGACCAGATGCCATGATCTTAGTTTTCTTAATGTTGCGTTTCAAGCCAACTTTTGCGCTCTCCTCCTTCACCCACATCAAGAGGCAGTCAGGTTAGTCTGGGTTATTACTTTTTGTGATTGTGTAGCATTATCTGGGACTAAGGGGCGGTGGCTGTAATTAAGAAAAAAGGAGCCATCCGCCACAGCCTGCTTCTCCTCCCATTGTTTCTACAGTTATTAAGGTCCCAGGGCTCTGTCAGAGACATGATAGCAGTAAGGGATGTGTTCCCTTTGCGCCACTAGGCAGCCTGGCACTCCTTCGCTTGTGGCAATTCTGTTGCGAACAGCCTTTCAGTGCAATTAGCCATAGAACACTGGAAGGAACATTGTGCATAGCTAGCAGCTGTTGCAACCATACCAAATGAATTCCTTCTGAGAGTAACACTGTCACTACTGTGACCTTGTGATAAAAGTAAAAATGGTGATAGACAAACGACTTCATTTCCCGTTGTTGCTGGCCACAGAGGAGAAGTACTATTATTTGTAATAGTAGCAAAATCTTTCCCAGAATCAACATTGCCACTATTTATAATCAGCATTATAATTAAATGGTAGTGAATTTTCCAAGTTATTTACTGTTCTCTAAAATTAGTCTATGTTCTCTAAAGTTAGCCTATGCATAAGTGCACACTAGAAGTACAAACGGAAAGAATTAATAGATGTTTTAATACTTCATAAATGTATAACAGAGAAGATTACAAGATATAGTTCAAAATATGCTATCCATGTTTTCCAAAATCTGTCATTTCTCACCTCTGATGTGGGAGGTCTGATCTGACTGGATGGCATATTTTCCTGAAGTCTGTCTTGATTCACGAAGAATTCAGGATAGTCATTTGCTTGATTTTTAAGAAAATAACATCTTTTATAGCCAAGTGTTATTTAACATAGTAAGGATTAGTTCTGCAGGTATCCCAGAAGCAATATTTCACATTTCATATATCTTGCCATGTTCTAAAAATGTTGGATTTTAAACAGAGACAACACTGGGACAGCAAGAGACTTTTGTTGCTAGTGAACCTGAAAACAAACTGAATGGATCCAAATGTTGGCTAACACAGTTGATCCACCCTTTCATTTACCTCAATGCAAGTAAATATCACCTTAGTAACACAGTGTATTGCATAATCAGTGCCATGTAACTGAGATTTGCTTTAATAATCAAAGATCTATGTTGAAGCTTTTTACTTGCATGGAGATAATTGCCACATAGAATAAAAACAACATGTATCTCATTGCTGGGCAGTGCAATTTAAACTGTGAAAAGGCATGCAGCAGGAGTCCTTATAAATATATGTGAATTGCACTAAGAACAATAAAGAATCAGTATGTGAATGTGCTTGTCTTCCTATTTCCTTCTCTTTTATAGTAGGTTAATATTAATGATACAAATATCTGATGTGCTTGGCATTGCCTAAAATTGAAATTATGTCTATATAAATATGCATATAGTTAGCATGAATAAATAACACCCAGTCTTAAACAAAAGACGTTAAGCAAATTTTGTGGATGCTGGTTTAGTCATTGGATCATATTGTCCAATTTTTTAAATGGTCCAGACTGACATTGCAGTGTCCTCTTCATTGTGATTGCTCTGGTCCTACTCCTTTATTGGCATCTTTTTCTTAAGCAAGAACAAACAGCACAGGGAATTTGCACTGCTGCAACTGTAGGCACCATACCATTCACTCTCTGCTCAACTCAAGATGGTTTTCCTGGTATAGACCTATTACAAGACTAGAATCTTTAGGTGAGGCCTTCAGTTTTCAGTTTCTGTCTTCCCATCTGGCACCAACAAAAGGCATTAGTCTGTGCCAGTGCCCTCTCTCTAGCATGGCCTCCCCTCTGAGATGCACCCAGGATCATGTGCTTTCAATGATTATTAAAATGCATTTGTTCACCTTGGCCTTTCCTAACCATTAACCCATTTAAATGCTGTTATATTTTTAATGAAGTATTGTTATGTAATGTGTTTTGTGCTTCTTTGGGATTCTTCAAATGGGAAGACAGATACACATGTTCTAAAATAAATAGATTGGGCAGCTTTAGCATCATGCATCACTCCTAGCCTTTCGCTTTCCACTTTTTCTGTACACTACATCAGTGGGTGCTATTTTATTAATTTCTTACCCTTTAATTTAAAAAGCAGAAACAGAACCGAACAGTCCTACCAGTATTTCTAAATGTAAGTCTTCCTTGCTTTTGTCTGGCCATGTTCTTGTGCTTTTACCAGTAACCAGACACTTGGAATTTTAACAGACAATGCTTTCCCTGGCATGGACATAGATCAATACAGAAAATGGTCTGTTGTTGTTTGTTTGCCTATCAGGCTGCGTATAAAAGTTCTATATGGGAGCGGGATTCAAGACCAAGTCTTATTCTAGTCACTTATTTGAGAGTGCTGAATCCAGTAGAATACAGATAGGATCTAACTGCGGGCAGGAAATAGTTAAACACATAATATTCATTAATTGTGATAAAGTGCTAGCAACCTGCTCTCCAGAAAATTGTGGCAGAAAACTTTCTACGTGGCCGGCGAGGAACGCGTGAGGCTTGCTTTCGGCGGGGGGCGAGAGTCCTCCCCGGAAAGCAGCGCCGCCCTTCTCGGCTGGGCTCTCGCAGATGCCCGCCCAGCGGCCCCTCCAGCCGGGCTGAAGCGGGCCGGCCGCGGGCAGCTACCCCCACCATGCCCGTTGGTGGCGCAGGCGGGTCCACATGCGGTAGCGGCGAAAACCAGTGAGAGCCAGTGAGGTGTAGTGGTTAAGAGCATGGGACTGGGACTCAGACAATCTGGGTTCGAGTCCCCGCTCGGCCATGGAGCCAACTGGGTGACTTTGGGCCAGTCACAGACTCTCAGCCCAACCTGCCTCACAGGGTTGTTGTTGTGGGGATAAGATGGAGGAGGAGAATGATGTAAGCTGCCTTGAGCCCTTTGTAGAAAAAAGGCAGGATATAAATCCATAAATAAATAAATAAATAAAAACAAGAGGGAAAGGAAGAGAAATGTTGAAGTTTCTCAGAGTTAGCGGCGGGAAGTTTTCGGTTCTCTTTCACGTTGTGCGTTTCTCTTCGCTTGGCAGGAGCGTCCACCGCCCATAGAAAACAACAAAGAAACTCAATTTAACAATAGCGTGTTCACGCACAACAAAGGATCCTGGGGCACCTTATGGATTAACCCATCGTGGGAACAATCTTATGCACGTTTAGACAGAAAAATGTCATGCAAGCCCCTTTTCCTATCTAAATGAGCAGGTGAATGATCCCCTTTTCTTGTTATAAACCTCCGGCTGGTTTACGTCAGAATAAGGACACAATCCTAGGCATGCGTCTAGCAGTGTGGGAGCAGTCTTATAAATTTCAGCATTCCCCAGCCAGCCAGCTGGATCATGCTGGGAGTACTAGACCCGTTTTTATCTAATTAATCTTTAAGGCATCACACGACTGTATTGTTTTTGCAGCAACAGACTATTGTAGCGATAGACTAATGCGATTCAGATAAAAGCTGCTGGTTTCTTCCAAATCTAATTGTGTTTCGCTTAAGAGCCCATTCACACCAGGCCGTGTACAATCTATTTTTATTATCCTTCATGCTGTAAGTTTGGGGAGGAGCTGAGAGGGAGGGGGCTTGTAAAGCCCTGCGATGCAGTCCACAGTTCGTATGGCAAGTTATAGGCTGGTTTGAGTTGCCACGTAAAAAAAACATCCGCCCTCACTCCACCCGGTCTCCTCACCTTGCAGCTAGGCATAATGTGTTTATACATTGCTCAGTTCTATAAAGAAAACTTGAGTTCATTTGTAGACACACTGAGACTGTCACTCTTTAAAAACTTTTTAAAAACCCTACGTAGCACAAAGAACTAGGACCTTAGTTAGGGAAGGAAAGCACTCGCCCATCTCTGCCAGGACAGTTTAATAGGGTTATCCCAAAAACCGAGTTTAGTCCATAGCTTTCAGCAGGACGCCCTCACTTCCGCTCGGGGGAGCACCGGAACAGACGGCCTCGAAGAGGAGCCCGCCTCTGAGGGCTGCGTGCGAGTCTTCCAGTTGCGAGTCTATGGGCTGGCGAGTGAGCAGCGCCGGAAACTTGGTGGAAAGTTCCGAGAAGCTCCTTCGGCGCGTCCGTCGGCCTCGCCCGCAGCTCTTTTGCCTTCGCCACGCCGCGAAGCGAAGCGGTGGCGACCATGTCCGGTTCCTCCAATGTAGCGGCCATGAGGAAGGTGGTGCAGCAGTTGCGCCTCGAGGCCAGCGTGAGCCGCGTGAAGGTGAGGCGGGGGCGGGGGCGGGGGCGGCCGGGGACAGCGCCTTGGCCGCCATTTCCGCGGCTCGGCGGGGGCCGCTCCCCCGGCGTCGCGTTGAGGGCACGAGTGATGCCTCACGGGGCCTGTGCGTGAGGGCGCTGTCGGAGCTTGCGGCCCTCGGACTTGTGAAGGAATGGTGCGGAGCGCCGTTAGGCATGTGCAGAGTGCCGTGCTCTCATCCCTGCGATGAATGCCAGCCGCAAGCAGCCGAAGCTGGGCGGAAGACCCCTGGCCAGGGAGGCGCCGCGCTGCAGCTTCTGATCTTAGACGGACTGGCCGTTAAACACAGCCTGAAGGAGCTGCTGGCTTCCTCTTCGTCTCCACCCTGTCGCCACCCCGTTATATTTTCCTTTTCTTGGCTCTGGCAACCTGTTTTTCTTGCAAAAGCTGGTGGTGGCTCGGGATCTTTTCCGAAAAGAAAGGCATGCTTTTTTAAACAAGGTTTTTGGGGAGTTTCCTTTTCAGCGGAAAGAAAGGAGGTATAAGAATCATCAGGCAAACTGACTTGAAAGTCCGCCTGGCGCAAAATGGGGAAGTGTGTTAAGGCCCGAGGAAGTCTGCAGAAGAAAGCCCGTTCAGCAGAATGTTTGTTGCGTTGTGTTTCCGACTTAAGCTCGCAGGCTTCCTGCATGGCGCTAATTCCCCGGGCAGAATGGATGGAAACACTATTCCCGCAGAATTTAAGCACTCGAAGCACTTCATATGCACAATCCAGTGATCTTTTGAGAACCTCCATGATAAGGGCAGGTAATAGCTTTGAGAATAGTTATGATCTGAAAGCTCATATTCAAAATCGCTTCAACTGCTGTGACACTTTTCTCATCCTTGTACTCTTACATCCCATTCCATTATGGGAAATCTGTTCAATCTGTTATTGCAGTAGGATTGTGCAAATACTATATCCCCAGGCCTCTGTTGTTCCCTAAAGGGAGAGATTCAAAAAGCAAGCCGGTTTTCTCAATAAACTGTATTTTCCCATTTACAGACTATGTATTTGTACTGCTCTGTTTAGTAGTTATGGAAAAGCTTGGTGCTGGAGGACCCAGTCTCAGTCCACTAATGTTAGTAGGCAAGGCCTGGAAAACACTGCCGCCAGTGAAATAGACTGTCCCTCTGACCCAAGTAGATCTATACATGCATCCAAATAAGAGACAATTAAAGCTTATGCATCTTCACTTGAGAGACAGTAACAGAATTCTTGCAGGTTATAGTCAAACCAGCCAGCATGGTTAAAACGTGGTGGACTGGGAACCTGGGTGATGTAGGTTTTAGTCTTTGCTCAGCCCAACCAACCTTACAAAGAAGCTGTTGTGAGGATAGAATGCAGCCATGTAAACTGCCTTGGGTTCTTATAAAAGGCAAACAAGAGGAATGTAAATGTAAAATACTAGTAATATAGTCAGTTTTGTAATGCATGAAGTTTGGAAAAGAATTATCTTGATTCATGACTGTCCTAAATGTCTTAGCCCATCAAGTTAAATGTAACTATTTGTCTAAATATGGATTTATTTATTTTTTTAGGTTTCAGAAGCTGCTGCTGACTTAAAGCAGTTTTGTCTGCAGCATGCACAGCATGATCCTTTACTAACAGGGGTTTCGTCAAGTACAAATCCATTTAGACCACAAAAAGTTTGTTCATTTCTCTGATTTGGTGATCTTTATTGAATTGTTTAATGGTAAGCTCTTTCAAGCTATTTTATGACCTTTGTTTTCTTAAAATGTTATGTCTTCATATCTTATTCTACAGAATTATAGTAATAGTTCCCACTTTCCATGAAGCAAGACCTAAGGTTCTTTCTGGGCATATGATGAATAGGATTGCAGTCTGTTGCACCTGTTGCTACTTAAATAAGTTGTTGTGATTCACTGATAAAATAATTTATAAAGCAGTAACTGTTTTAGCAGTTGTAGCAAAACACTCCAATGTCTTGTGGCACCCTAAAATACTTTTAATTATGGCATAAGCTTTTGTGAACACTATTTTCATACAGAAGTGCTGACCTGCTCACAGATTTATATACACATGCAGGAGAGGGACACATAAACCACGACTAAGCAGAATTGAAAAGCAAAAAGTTCAGCTAATAAAAATTACCTGAACAGTTGCCATTCAAAAGAAACTTTGTTTAGTGAGAATTCTTTTGTGTTTCTTGCATTCAGTTCCATCTGACCAGAGAGAGGTATATAAGTCTTAACAATTTAAATGTGATACTTTATTTTTCAATTTATATCCTGCCTTTTTCCTACAAAGGGCTCAAGGCAGCTTACATCTCCTCCTCCATCTTATCCCCACAAGAACAACCCAGTGAGGTAGGTTGGGCTGAGTCTGTGACTGGCCCAAAGTCACCCAGTTGGCTCCATGGCTGAGTGGGGACTAGAACCCAGATTGTCTGAGTCCCAGTCCCATGCTCTTAACCCCTACACCACACTGGCTCTCTATTACTATTTATGTAATTAATAGTTTCCATTAGTGTTATTGCCAGAATTATCTGGTCTCTTAAAGCTACCACATAACTTTTAAATTATTCATAAATGACCAATTCACAACTGTTTAGTCTGCAATATTTACAGAATTCTTAATTCCTACACAAATTGAGGCTGTACTCTCAAATACATCCCCCAGTATATACTGTTGGATCTTGTATACACCCAAATGGCTTATGATTGCTCGATAAATCCATACAGCATGTTCTCTCAGTCATAGGAGATGAAGGACAGATGAAGTTATACTCTAGGACTCTTTACCCAGGAAAGCCTGATGACTTTCTGTAACTAAAGATAAGGTGGTTTCTTCAGAGAGATTTGTATGCATTTGTGTTCGGTGTATTGCAAAGTGCTGCAGAAACTTAGTTGGATATCATGTCAAGTTCTGGAAACAATTTGCAGCAAATTCACACTCACCTTGGAAATCATATTTTTTTCTCTTTCAGATCTAGCAACTTTTCACAGCTGTTGATGGATGTGATGAATATAGAAGTGAACCAGTGTGGCTTGGAAGCTGTAAAGGAACTTTGCATTAACGTGCCAATTTAGAGATAGTAACATTTCTACTGTTGTCAAAACTCTTACAATCTACCTCTCTAAACACATTGTATGCTGGCTGCAGTAACTTCTGTATCTTGAGGGAATCAATTTTATATTCAAGCAATAAATAGTTGACTAAATGACAATAATCTTTACAAGTTGGATAAATAATGTTTAGCATTTTTACAATTCAGGTGCTTTTCCTATAAGGATCCATGTTTTTCATGCTTAGTTAGGAAAGCCAACCAGCATGCTTACCCAACCTTTCAGATGGTTTAAGATCCCCTTTTCTGAATACAAAGTATCTGTGGCCCAGACAGTAAACATTTGTTCTGTGACTGTTCCAAACTGTCCCTAGAAATCTATCAAACTTCCATATCGGGATGAACATAAATACTAATTAAAATAATTGATATTTCCTCAAAATGGCACATTTTACCACTAAATAATTTACAATTAAGTGATACTTACATTTTAGGAAAAGGAGTACTTTCTTTAGATTGTTTTAAAAGTTAGTTTTGAAATGTGCAGTGCTTAAAATAATTTTTTACTTACTGAGTGAATTTAAAAATGCAGTTATTTTTGGATAGCTTGTGGGAAATAGGAACTTCAACTGTACAATTTTTCTCTTTTCTACCTCATCACAAAAGATAGTAGGAACTTACTATTGGGTAGACTAGAAAGGTTTTTCATTAAGTGAAAAATTCTTGCGTTTGAAAAGGTGGGGCATATATTCATGTTGAACTATATTGTTCCTTAAGTGTCCTAGAAAGTACTCATTTAACCATATGTGGGGAAGCATCCATGCAGAAGCCATTGATGCAGACTTAGTTATAATGTTAAAACATAAATTGTAAGACTTGCGCTTGTAAGCTTCTCCCTTCCTCTGCATGGTTGCTAGGGGATCAGAAACATTTGCTTCCACTTTCAACTAACAGCAGCTAGGAAATGTGTCATGACCACACTGGGAAGTGCAGTTAATATCAAGTATGACTTATTCAGACAAGCCAGATACACAAACCATAGTTTGTGGTGATTAGCTATATGTTTTGAAACATCCAGTACTGATCTCATGATTTCTTTTTTAACTACTCCTTGTGCTAATTTCCTGAAACTAATGCAACTCTTCATTTTCAGTGCTACTTTCCCGCAAGACTGTATTTGATTTTGCATACTGAAGCAAATTATTTTAGACCTCAAAGCCTACTTTGCTTCTCCCTTAACATTAATAACAATTAAATATTTCTAACAACTGACCTTGAATCTTGGAAAGTGACTCAATTACAGCCTATGCTCTTTTTTTAGGATTTATTTTCAGACTAAAATCCTTCTAATATATAGCATATATACAATTACAAAAGATGGCACTATCTTTAAGAAGACATCTTTATAACCTCTTGGCATGATTAGACAGGAAATGGTGCAGTTTCTTCACACAAATGTAGCATAGTTATGAAGCCACCAAAGGCACTAAAAGGGACAGTCCCTGGCCCCAACTATGAATTCAGTCTGATGGAAACAGCTGTTAGTTTGCAGTTTGTTCATAAAGAGCAGGAATAGTTGTACAGCAACACCATCCCCACTTCTTTGTTCTTGTTGATGCAGTCTAAATCAAACAGCAGGTTCACCTTCTTAGCATATTCTTAAAGATGGAATTTTCTTCTACTGGTGTCCATTTCACGGCGCTGAAAGATAAAGCATTTATAAATGCACTACAAAATGAAGAGCATATTTTATTATCAGACAATTATAAACATTGCTTAGCATTACAGGAATATTTATTGACACTGACTAAACACGATGCTCATACCTCAATGCAATGGATTAGGTAGTCTCATTAAAGTATGCTCTAGTCAAACTGGACTTAGGTTACTGTATAACGGCCCTTAATTAAGGTTACTTAAAACTTAGAACCTCCACTAATAAAGACTTAACATGCCATGTTCTACTTTAGACTCTTGCCAACAGTTCCACTCATCATCGTGCTGATTAATCTGCAGGCCTGAGCTTTTGAAGAACAGGATTTAATAAAGTATTGAAGGATAACTAACAAAACTCTCTTCTCCTTGCCTGCTTAGAATTGAAGAGATTGGAAATACGCCTCCCCCCGGCCCCCAGTAACTTGCACTGAACTTCATCGGGTTCCCAAGCCTATCACAACAAGGGAATATCCATGAATAACTCCAATTCCAAACAGGGATGGGTGACTAGCAGTAGTGTTCCAAGAAGCATCTTTATTGCTCACCACACAAACAAGCCCAAACCTTTCAACTTTAGAGAAGACAACCCCAGCCATGCTGTAGATGCCATCTGCACGAAGGTGCATTTTTGCCACCCGCCAGTCAGACAAATACTAGATGGACAATGGATCATCACCCGTTGTTACAGACATGATGGCCCTTGTAAAAACCTGGGGAAGATTTTTTAGAAGAAACAGAACCCACAATGTCTTGCTACCCACCACACAGTTTAGTTCCAGCCTTGGCTAGAGACAGACATGGGGATGGCAGAGGCACTTGAGATGTACATTGACTACAGAAGTAACCCTCAGCCTTTCCCTGCACAGCAGGACAGAAAGGTTGAGGCTTGTTCTTTAGTTTAAGCAAGGGTAGTAGCACTACTACAAATGAGCCCTAGCTACCAGTTTGGAGCCAGGGTCCTTACAATTGCTGAACCTCTGAACTTTCCACTGAACCTCTGAACTGTCTACAAGGATGCCCACCTGTACTTCCAAACCCAAACACCAAGCTGAGTGAAGGAAGCAGGAGCTTGTTGCTAGCCTCATAAATGCAGCACAAAATCAGGGATCCAGAGCCCTAACTGGCATTCTACTCAGAGTGCTTGAGTGAAGTTTAATCCCAAGTCTAACCCACATCTGGGTTTGCTTGACACAAGCTGAGTTTTGAATATTCAAAACCCACGTGACACATGCTGCATCCCATCATAAAAATTGCCCCAAGTTCTTGTTGTAGGGTTGCCCATCAACAAGACTGGGAATAAGCCCACTGACAATGTGATTGTGCCAAACAGACAAAGTTCTGAAGATTCTGCATGGGTGGTGGGAGTAAAAGTCTATGTAAGAAATTTTGGCTTGGCCAGCCAAAATTTTTTAGAAACATATCTAATAAGAGGGCTTGTGTTCCCTAAGGGATTTTGAATATTTTAAACAGTTGACAACCATGCCATCTGTAAAAAGTTTTGCAGAAATTTCCAGTTACTATTATATAACTAACCTCACTGTATGCATACGCTAGCTGTATGCTTCTTTGGATATTAGCAACTCTTGCTTACTATATTCAAGTGTAACTTCATATTCACCAAAACCAATATAAAAATATCAATTATTTAAAAGATACATAAGGCAAATACTGCTTAACACTATGCTATAAATTCAACTATTATGCAAAGTGCAGTTACAAATCCACTGTGTACCTAAAAAGTTCTCCAATGCTAAGGGATCACAGAAATTTTAAAATACCTTATGAATCCATTCATATTCTCCAAACTTCGAATCAAACGTTCCCTTTTGAAGAGATCTTAATTTCAGGGTAAAGCGTGGACCTAGTTCTTGAATGGCTACTCTTTTTTCATTTTTGAAAATATACCTTTAAAAGATAATAGTTAACATAAGCAGATTTGGCAAACAGAATCAATTCTTAAATTTGTAACAAGAGTTTTCAAACACTCACCTGTGGAACCTGAAAAATATATAGTCTCGTTGATTATGAAATGTGGCTACTTGTCTACCAATGAACTGAGGATCATGAGGAAAAAGAGATGCAAACATGCGTCCAATAGAATGGCCCAGTCGTGTTGTAAAGTTGTTCAGGATTACTTCAGGCTGATGTTTGGTGGGATCTTTCCCTTTCCGCTACAATAAGTGATAAGATATTTTCTTGAATGGTAAGCCTACCATGGTTCACAAGCAGGTAGACTTGCTTGCTGGAATAAACTCACCTTTATTTCTTTACGGAGACGAACACTACTCATCCTAAAATGAGCAGTTGGACCTTCAGGCAAGTGACTTATCACAAGCCCATCTGTTTCAACAAAGTTAAGACGGACAAATTTCAATGTGTGATACAGAGCAAACACTACAACTTGCACTGATGTTGAAAAAACCATGTAATCTCTCCCCCACTCCCACCACTATCAGCTGAATATACTCTTCCACTTTGAATAAAGGAAAGAGAGCAGAAGAAACATGTAGTAAAAGCCAGAGAAAAACTTCCAAAGTAAGCCTGATGCTTGGAACAAGTCATATGAATGCCAGCAAAGAAAGTGACTGTCAAATCTTCTGAAGAAAACTTGTCCTTAAGCATCAACAAGATGCATCCTATTAATATGCAACCAGGACACATGGTTAACAGGGAAGTTTTTCCACATTGTGTAAAGGGATTGAGAAAGAAGAGAAATTATGATACTCCCAAATCAACAGAGCTCTGAGGAAGACCGGAACTCAAGCAACTGTATGCAGAACTTCCTGCTTCTGATTATACAATTTGGCTGGCCTTTAGCTTCTATTGTTCCAATATGGTTAACTGTCTGACTAAACACAGGAAGTGTGAACTGACTGAATAATACCAGTTACTACTTACTTATTTTACAAACCTATGGAAGTTTTCAAAGAATAGTCAAAGCAACATTCAAAATCTCAATTGTGTATTTTATGAGAAACTGCAGTTTCTACAATATGTTTCAGTCACAAATAAGTACCACTGAATTGTTGCTTTTCCTTGTAATTGAACAGTGATGTGGAATCTACTACTCAATAGTAACATCTGACTTCAAAACCTGCATTGTCCTATTCAAGAAGGATACTTGGTATTTTCCGATCTTCATTGACAACTATCAGATCAGTGAAATCCCTTGATATACATTGTGGAATAATTCTCTTTAGAGCCAGTCCTCTTCGATAATAAACATGGGAATTTGGAACACATGTTGATAATTGTTCACAGAACCGAACAGTTCTCTATAAAAAAAAGTGTTTATGCAATACAACCTTAATGGGTCACAGTACTTCAATTCTTAAACTGTAGGAACATTTCTTTGTAATGTACATTTAAAGCGATCTCTACAAAAAGAAAAGCTACCAAAACCTGATGAACCAGAGGAACTAGGTCTTTTGTAGCAAGGATCATATTATGGTTTTGGCTGCTTATGAAAAATTATATGCATCATGCAAGTAGCTCAGATAAATTTGCCCAACTCTGGCTTGTAAGCCCAAATGCATACTTCCCACCAGCAATCAACCCATTAAGCTTGGGCAAAAGCAAAAAAAGAATAATATAAAGCACAGTTAACTTTTCACTCTGTCAAGTTCATCTAAGAGAGTTACCAACACAAGTTGCTACATTATGCTTAACTGAACATTCCTGTGCTTGTCTACCCATTCAACATGGCTCCAGTGCACCAAGTGGTTAGACTACTAAACATATACAGTGGTGCCTCAGCTCACATATGCCTCAGTTCACGATCAAATCGGGCCATGAACAAAAATTTCATAAAAATTTTTACTCAGGACATGAACTCCACATTGAGTGAAGACCGCAATCGTGGCCATCCCCTCCCCCATCTCAGTGGGGAGATGGCAGCAATTGTGCTGGGGGCAGGGAGGGGGGAGATGGTTGAGATCACACCCATCTTTCCTGCATGAGCACAACCGCAATCTTGGCCATCTCCCCCTGCCCAGCATGATCACACCCGTCTCTCCCTTCCAGAGCGCCTGTGTTCGTGCCGATCTCTCCCCCGCAGCGCGCCCGTCTTTCCCCCCGGTGCACCCGCAATTGCGTCCACCGCCCCCCCAGTGCGCCAGATGACAGGAGTGTGCCGGGATGACGGGCGTGATTCCGGTCATGCTGGGGGGGGGGCAGGGAGATAGCTGTGCTCGTGGTGGGGGAGAGATGGCCACAATCTTTGTTGTTCTTTGCCACTTTGCTTCACATTTTTGATTGAAAAAAAAAATAGTTACAGAACTAATTAACCTTATTTACATGGAACCTTATGGGGAAATTTAACTTGGCTCATGACCAATTTGGGTCACGACCATCCTGGAATAGATTACCATATTTTTCGCTCTGTAAGATGCACTTTTCCCCCCCTCAAAAGGAAGGGGAAATGTCTGTGCATCTTATAGAGCGAATGTGTGTGTGCCCAATGCCCAGGATGCTGCTGGCCCGCCTGCACCAAGTGACACCACCTGGCCGGCACGCGCTCAGCGCGTCCTGCTCCGCCCCCCGCTCTGGCGCAGGTGAGAGCTGTGCCGCTCAGGGGGAGCGGTGCGGAGGAGCAGCAGCCATGGGCTTTAACCTGCTGGCCACACAGAGAGACGGACTGCTCACCTCCACCGCCTGGGAAGACCTGCCGCCACTGCGCTGCCCGGAAGACCACCACTGGCACACTGCCAGCCCCACGTAGCACCACCTGGCCGGCACACACTCGGCGCGCCATGCTCCGCCACCCTCCTCCGGCGCAGGTGAGAGCTGTTAATCACAGGTCAGTGTGTGTTTTCAAATGGCAACCCGTCTTTTAATGAAGCCCATGGTGAAGTGATGAGGAATGTGCCTGTGATTATCAGGAAGCTTTCCATGGATCAGTTATCTGTTAGTTGATCAGACACATTTTTTTTAGGATAAGTGGATATTTGAACAGCATTACCTTTGTGTATGAAGTTTATTCTTCAAAGGCTACTTAGTCCACTGTGTGTTTGATTTACCGTACAATATCTCATTTTTTGTCAGATTTTTTCTATTATTTACTAGTAGGGCAGCATGGACATTACTGGCTTTTTTAGATTTGTTACTGAATTGTCTGCAGCAGCTCTTGTATAACTGGTGTAGATTGTGGATTCCTTCAATAATTCCACTACTGACTAAGAAAGTGATGTCAGTGAATGTGAGCAACAGAGCTTCATAAATTCTGACTCTAGTGATGATGAGTTCTATGGGTTCAACGAAAACTAGAAGACTACTCGAACTTTAAAGTCTCTCTTTTGTTAATGACAGTGATGATGGTTCTTAAAGCCACTGTTGACTGCTGTTCACTTTACAAGGTTGAAATACGTTATTACTGTATTCTGTTATAGTTTATTAAATAGTTTAGTAAACCATTTGATTCAGAATATTTTTTCTCGTTTTCCTCCTCTAAAAACTAGGTGCATCTTATGGTCAGGTGCGTCTTATAGAGCGAAAAATACGGTAAGTTCGTGAGCCAAGGTACCACTGTACTGTAAAAAAAATGCCATTTTAAAAAAGGAATCTCATGCAAACTATTTGCAAAAAGTTACAAAGTCTAGATCTAATAGACATTAGGCCTTCATGTTACATGTAATAAAGCTGAAATAAGTTTTTAATCATTGCTTTAAAAATGTGTTTTTACCCCATGAGGGTGGCGTAGAAGCCTAATGGCACTGAAACTGTCGATCAGGAATGGTCAGCACTCCAGCGGTTTGAGGCCAGCCTAGCAGGATGGAGTGAGCACTCATTGTTTGGCCCTAGCTTCTGCCCACCTAGCAGTTTGAAAGCATATCACCTGCAAGTATATATACATATACAGACCACCACTTCCTGGTGGGAAACCTGCTGGCTGCATTAGCGATGAAAGTAAGCACCAGCACTGGATCTGCCCAGATGTGTTTGGTGGAAGATCAGCAGAGAAAAGCCCTGGATGAGCTGATTATAAGAGTTCTGCTGGCCAAATGGCGCTGAGCTAGTTTGCCCCCTGTGGTGCGCTGGCACAATAAAAGGCTAGCAACTACAGGCACCAGAACATCTGCTCTGTGTAACACATTGTAGACTCCCTGGCAATATATGCTTGCTAGCTAGCTAAATACATACATACCCCACGAGGTCTGTCAGATGTTGTTATAAGAATCTTTGGAAGAGTTTTCCTATTGAAGTAGGGTGCAAATTCATCTGTAGCTTCATCCAAAGTAACCTGGAAAATGACAATGATATGAAATCACACTAAATAATTTGTTTCTAAAAATAAAAACTTTCAGACCTAAGACCTAGCAGCTCTATACCAGCCCTTTAAAATTCTAGTTACATTCCTGTACCATCCAACGAGAAGTTTTCTCAGCACAAGCACTAGATATTAAGAAACATGCACCAGGACCTTAAAAATGACTTTATCAGTAGTACATTTTACTGATTCAGGTGCATTTTCAAGATTTGAATTGCTCTATAAAAGCTTTCTTATACCGGATCAAGCTTTTTGTCCATCAAGACCAGTATTATCTACACTGACTGGTAGTAGCTTTCCAGCCTTTCACATCATCTGCTACCAGATTATTTTAACTGAAGTGACCAAGGAATCAACATGGGATGTTCTACTAAGAAATATTCTCTAAAAGCAATAGAAAAGCCTGTTTTATATTTGCAAAGAAATTTTTTTTAAAAAAGCTTGAGATCAATGACTTGAACAGTTACCAATAGGCTACCAAACAAGAAAAATAAAACCCTCAAGCCATTGAACACAAATCCAAGGCCTAGGGTACTTATCAAGCATAAACATGTGCAGAAAAAGTTCAGAATAAAAGATCACGAGGATTTTTATTCAGCATTAGTTTACTTTAAAATGGTTTTCAAAACAGTTCTAGTTTTCCAAAAAGAGCTACCTCTTCATCATTTGGATCAACTGTAGTTTCATCATGCACACGCTGGTTTTCTATTGTCTTTGGTACTGGCTTTGGTGGTGCCTGTAAGAAATAAGTTAATACATGACATTAACTTTGCTGGGGATTCCTTAGAGCCTGAAACCTTTTTGTACTCATGACAACATTTTTATAAAGTGCATTAATATTATTACCCTCATAATGCAGATAAGATGGATGAAGTGATGGTTTACCATCTTAGGTATACAGTCCTATGCTTTCTATCAAAGCATGCTATTATTATTTATTTTATACCATCCAATAGCTGAAGCACTCTAAACAGTTTACAGCAGCACATAAAATGCTATAATATGCAATAAGATACTATAAAATATTTTTTAAAAGCAAAGAGTTGATTTCTAAAGCCATGCTCTGAGCAAAGAAGCAACTTTCCAAATTTTATCTTTTATACTACAATAATCATACATTAGTATTATCACATGATATTGCAAATGAAATATTAAAAGGTCTATTTCTGCATATCTTGAGATGCATTTTACTTCCTATATAATTCAGCAATATAACAGATGAGTTGCATCTAATTATCAAGTCCCCACATTCAATCAACAGTGCTAAAGTTAATGATAATTTTTTTTGTACAAAAAAAATCTTGTTCTTGTATCTTACTACAACAGATAGTAGATACTCCTTGCTGTCTTCCTGTGCATGCATATAAGAGAACTAACTCTGCAAAAAGACCATGTGCTTATTTGTACATAATTTTGTATTGACCAAAACAACTTTTAACCCTAATCCATTACCTTGTCTCCGAGTGCTTCTTGTTCCTTTTTCCTCTTTTTCTTGATAGCTAATTTCTCCTACAGAATAAAGGGTGGGGGATAGAGAAGGAAAAAAATACATTTTAAAAGAATTATCATCTTCTGATAGTTAGTTTTACACAGGGTAACAACTTTGGTCTCCTACTGTTTGGTGTGATGGTCAGAGTGCTGGCCTGGGACTTGTGAATCTTGGTTCTAGTCCCCGGTTGACCATGAAGCTCACTGGGTGGCTTTGGGCCAGTCACTCATTCTCAGACTAACCAACCTCACAGGGATGTTTTAAGGACAAAATGGAGTGGAGGAAAACTGCCTAAACTACCTTGAGTCCCTTCCAAAGGGGAAAAAAGTAGGATAGAAAAGCAATATAATAATTACAGTAACTGCCATCATCCCTCACTCTTGGATGTGATGACTAGAACAAATGCAAACTGTATGCCAAAAATCCGAGGGGCCACAAATTCCCCACCTCTCCTGACAGACTGAGGACACCCATTTCAATAAGGTCCTCTAACAAGCAGCGTGGTCAAGCATAAAACGGAAACCAGGTCGCCTCAACCCCAATCCACCATAAAGCATTTTCCCTCCCAGTCCTTCTCGTACTCTGGTACTCCAGACCCCTTGAAAGGCACAACGCACTTCCTCACCACCCACCCCAGCGCCCTGTAGCATGTGGAGCCCCCCACACACCGATACGGCCGCCGGAGGTCATCCCTCCCTCCTACCCACACGGAACTTCCTCCCTCCTCAGCTACGCGGCTCCTCGAGCTCAGCGCGGCGGCACCGAGGCCGGCCTCTCCCCTCCGCCGCCTCGCCACTCGCACCTTCCTCTGCTGCTGCTTCCAGCGCAGGAACATGAAATGGCGCCGCTGCTTGTTCTTAATTTCGGAGACACTGAACGTCGGCGGGAACGCCGCCTGGACCTCTCCCGCGCCAAAGGCCTCGCTCGGTTTCTCGGCATGGCTCTGCGCTCCCGGCTCCCGCTTTCCCGAACTGCCCGCCATGCTTCTTCCCACGCCTTGACCCCTCACCCTCTTCGTCTTCTTCCTGTGGGGCTTCCGGGAAAGCAAGGCCGAGAGGCCCTGCCAGCGCCACCTACCGACGGCCCGCAGAATCTTCGGCCAGCTTCCACTGTAGGCCGCCGAAAGCTCCGAAGGGGGCAGCGCCACTTTCGAAAGATCATCGTCCTGCCACGGTGGAGTTGTGAAATAACGAAAAAAAAAGGAAATTGATACATCTGGAAATGCAGACAATTTCCAAGGCTAAGTTTCCTAGAATATGCTGTTGAATATAGTGCCGGAGACCCTTTCAAAACTATGTCAGAGTGATTCAAGTATATGACAACAGCAGCAAGAATCACAATTGCGTCTAAATCGAAATCATTGGAGCCCCGGACAATTGAAGAATGGAGAAATAGACTAGCAGAAACAGAAGATCGTTAGAAGAATTCATTGATAAATGGAAATTTTATTATGCTCAGTAAGACTAATGGGAGTTGAGGGGAATTTGGAAAAGAAAATGAAAATCTTCCTATCACTTCAAGTAGAGGGCTTCAAGCCATAAAATGTGTTGTTGCATAGGTTTTTTTTCTTTTAAACTCTCACAGAGCATTGAAAGATGAAAGATAGTTTTGGGGGATTGAATGTATAGGTTGCATTTGTTTAAACTTACCTTGGCAACTTTGCTTGCTTTGTTCATTTTAGTTTGCTCTGTTTATTTTATGTTCTTTTTCTGTATCTGCATATGCTAAGAAAATAAATAAGAAAGATCATCATCCTGCAAAAGGGTTCTCAAATTGCCAGCAGGAACTCTCCTGGGAGCCAGAAAGCACAAAGAGGATGCCAGCTAAGCCTCATACCACAGACTGAGAGACATTAAGTGATCTGTTGTCTCTTGGACCATCGCACACCTCACAAGGGCCAGAAGTGACCCGACCCACTTCAAAAAGCTTTCTATGATCAGCACAAAGGCCCTTCAGCATCTACAATATGCAAACCTGCCACATTCTATAAGAAAGTCACATGGGGTGGGGGGCTGACAACCAGAACCTTGCAGTTCCTCCTGAATCTTACCTATTTTCCTTCAAAAGCCATGAAGTGTACCCTAATCCAACCTCCTTGCACCATTTCTGCCAGTATAACTGCAGAAATTCCCACCTTGAGTGTTGATTGGCATGTCTGAATTCAGGTGTTTTCCATGCATACCTGGAGGCTGGGCTGAGGGCTTTTGGCAGGAGATTGCTCAATTGCTAGCCATTGGTGATGTCCTATTATTGCTGAGGATGCTTGGGAAGTGACTAGCCTGCTCCTGCCTAATGCCAGCCAGCCAGGTATGTCCTATAATTCCTCCTCTTGAGTCTAAGAAGCTCATTCAGGGTTGTATTAGATCTCTTTGTTGAGCTTCTGCATCTCTATGAATGCCAGGTGGTCTCTGCATTATGTGGTGTGCATTGTACACATTCTGGCTATCAGGGACAGGCATTGCATGCCACCACAGGTGATGGCTAGGAGTGCCAACACCAGCAGGGCTCCCTTGAGGACAAATTCGGGCAGCCAGCACCACAGCCAAGCCCACCAACCTCCACACCAGCATCTGAGGGGGCTATATGGGACATGTCCAGGATCTGGTCATTAGGCAGCTTGCTTTGTAGGTATGTCCTACAAATGGAAACCTTAGAACCTTAGTTGATCCCCCCCCCCCCCGCATAGTTTTAGAAAATCAATCCTACCACACCAGAACTCTGGAACTGGATCTGGGTGGCACAACAGACAATATTGATAAGATTTCATCATGGTTTCTCATGTTGTATAGACTCTCCCATTGTGAATTTATAAGTAATTTTATACATGTATAGGGGAATAAGTTCATACTGGGTAAACAGATTAGTTTTGTCCTTCCCCACAGTCTATAAACTAAGGGAAAATTTTGTCTGTCTAGGGTCGCAGAAGAGTACAAGGAGATTTAGCTTATATTGCCTGTAATTAAAGTTACCATGCTGAAAAATTTGTTTACAGAGAATTAATAGGAGAGTCAGTAATTCCAGGCAACAAATAAATAGTGTCTTTTCTTGTGATCTGTTGCTGCACTTGCATTTATAGTTGGTTTTATTGTTGGCAGTGTCTTCATAAAAGGGAAAATGTGTAATTGTTCCCAGCATTTTCAGCTATTTCCCTTATATACTTCAATAGTTGTATGATCCTCACCCCACGCCACCCCAGTTTGCATGGATTTGGGCAAATGGAGACATGCAGTCTATTTTTTTAATTAGTATTGTTTATCATACAGTCTCATTGTCTGCATCTCAACATGAAGATGATTTTTAGTCACTTAAGCATCCAAGGCAGGTGACTATAATAAAGTCTATACAATGTAGACTTTATGAAGCTTATTACCCCTGGACATGCTAAACATTAACTACATGATAAACATTTAATTAAAACATTAAAAGTTTAACTCATTGATGTAAGCACATTCTCTTCTTCCTTATATGTAAAGCAGCTATGCTACAGATACTAGCACATCTAAGACAGAGAACATGGAACCAGCAGGGCAAGCAATGGGAGGTCATCAGCAGTAAGTGACTGAAAGCATACAGCTGGGTGGTGCAAAATCCTATTTTTTTTCCTTTAAAAGAAACTCTCATTGATTTTGCTGCTGAGAACTGGTTAGGTGGGATAAATTGCTTAATATTAGGCTGTAAGATAGTAGTTAGCAAATGTTCCACCAAAAAGACCCATGAGTGATCATTTGAATTTTGCAACTTCCCCTTTGATCTGATGCAGGAGTGCAGAACCTCAGGCTTGGAGGCCAAGCCCAGCCTTCCTGAGGTCCCATGCTGATACTCCTCCATGCTTTTGAAGGCCACACCCTCTTTCCCTAGCCCTACCCTTTCCCCAACCACTGATCATTTCCCAGTTTTTGTGCAGTTTTTTGCCCATTCTAAGAGGGTTTTTCTAATAGCACTCCTGGAGCACAGTCCTTGGCAGCAAAAGAGCTTTAGGGTGCAATCCTATGCATGTTTAGACAGAAGAAATCCTACAATTCCCAGCACCCCCCTGCCAGCATACTGGCATTTTTTTGCCCCACCTCAATTGCCCTGCACACCACTCGAATGCAGTGGCAGAGACCTCCCCAAAATTCAGTTCAGCCCTCAAGCTGAAAGGGGTTTCCCACTCCTAATCTAATGGCTGTCGCCCACCTGCAACACGCATCATCTTCAACATCAATTGGCCAAAGTTCTTGAAGACCACAGTGCACCATTTGGAAACGAGCATGCTAAATCATAAGTGAATGTGTTCATGTTTGTGTTTGGGTTTTTAAACATTAATCAGGCATTTGGGTATATATTGCAACTCCACTGCTTTAGGAAGCATTTATATCTGTCATTTCATGGAGGAGAACGCTGCCTTTGCAGAACTCTCTAGTTGTGTACAGAAGCGTCATACCTAAGAACTGTGTCTCAATGTACTGCAATAGACAAGCAATGACTTTCATTAATAAAAAAACTGTTGTCCAAAAAGAGTAATTGGTGACTCCAGGTTCTAAGGCTGCTGGATCGAAAGTGGCTAGTTCAAAATGCGTATGGCCAGATGCACCTTGCTTGCTTCTAGATGCCTTGGTATGCTCTTCAAACTGGAGATAGTAACAACCACTCACCTTGTAAAGTACATGAGATCATCAGATCAAAGGCATTTAATGAATACAAAGTAGTGTTCTAACAACCAAAGCTGCCCTGCCTCTCCTTACCCATATATCTGTTTACATTGTTTCTCTATGATATTCACAGGATGTTATCTGAAAGAGTGCATAAAAACTATCCATATGTCTCCTAAGGAGAATTTGCCCACATGTTCAAAGTGGCCATTAATGTAACATTTCCTAGTGTGCATTCACCATTTTTAATGTATTGTTATTTTCTTATAAAATATCTTGGCCTACCTGCAGGCATTTATATATGTGTGTTTTTAATGAGGTCTGTTGTAATCTCTTGGACTCGGATAACCTTTCCTGCATGACTGAAACTAACTGTGAGTTACCATTGGCTGTTTTCTCTAGTAAACCTTAATAAATGTATGAGAAGTTTTATCCGTGCTGGAGAAGAGCAAGACAGTACAGTCTTGTTTGCAGGGAAGGGGATCTGTCTACCCTTCACCCTCTGCTTCTCTGGCCCTTCTAACTGCTGATCCGTTCAGCTGGACATGCCCAGGATTCCATTCTGTGGTCTTGCTAGGGAGGAGTTCTGGGGCCGAAGCCCAGTGCCCCACGGAGCAGAATGCATGTGGAGGAGCAGCAGTGACTTTACCACATGTTGTCCTGTCCATGTCGTTATCTGAAGATGGAGTCCTCATAAGACAACTAATTCCAGAGGCTAGAGTTACTTCAGTAGAAACATTTATGGGATTTGGGTTGCCTATCGTTCAGCTAGAGTTCCTGTCTTGTTCATGAGCAGGCTTTTCCTTGTGACCTGGCCTTTCCTTGCAGGCATATTATTACCCAGGAAGAGGCCTTGGAACCAAGGAAGCCATGGCATGACTTCCTGCCTCCTCTGTGGCTGGGCTCTGTCATGACCAGCCAGAGTGTGAGCCAAGTAACACCTTTTTCATATATGTTGCTATGTTTGAGAAATCAGGATTCCATATTAGCTCTAGTGTTTCTGTTGTATTCCTCCTGGAAAGCCTTAGAAAAGAAAGCAATATCTGATTCACACAAGGGCTTACTGAACTGCTTCTTTAGTTTCATTGAGCCAACATTTTGGCCACTGCTGAGAAAAAAAAAAAAATTAAAACGATGTGCCTGTTAGGCAGATGTGTGCCTGACCTTCCACAACACTACGCACGGATTCCATTAATGGCCACATGGATTAACGAAGGGATCCATAGTGCAACTTGGATTAACGAAGGGATCATTGCCATTTTATACACCAGCTTGCCAGACTGCATATAAGGGCATGTGCGCAAGGTCATTTATCACACAATCATCCTGACTGTATTCAGAGGCATGCTCAACAGTGCTAACATCAGTGTGCTTACACA